TTAAAAAAACCCTGCTGGCATAACTTTTTTTAATTAATTACAAAAATAATTTTAAAGTACTCCCCCTGATTTTCCTTTAGCTACAGGAGGCTAAATTCAGAGCAGGTGGAGAGGAGTATGTGCCGCCTCCCTGCAGGTAGCCCCACACACTCCTCTCCTTCTTCAATTCTATTTTTAAGCAAAATTTTCCTCTGCTTATTGCTATCATTAATCATGCATACAGCACTGTGTACTGTTGCGAAGAATTTATATAGCACTGTAAATGTACACAGACCTATATTTTTCAAACAGGCATACCGAGGGAAAGGCATCTAAATTCAGATTATTTTCTAGGCACCCAAATAAATGGTCTGGATTTCGGTACCTCCATGCACCCCCCAGGCTCTGTCAGACCGGGCGAGCAGGAAGATCTATTACCCTGTGCTAATGGCAGAGGCCTATTAGCTCTAAAAATAATCCCACTTATTCACGTCTAACTATTGATTTTATGATCAGGTTTTGAAAACATTCAGGCAAGCTCACCCAAGCTCGCCTCCATCCGCGGGCAGCTGGGCGAGAACGGGCACCGCAACGAGCAGCCGCTCGCCAAAACTATCGTGATATTTAACAAGTCACACTTATAGGAACACCAACATCCTTTTTTTTTTCCCCCATTTTTAACTTTGCCAGCCCTTTCGCGCAGCTGAACAGCCAGAAGCTGCAGTTTCAGGTTTGGGGAGGATTAGCATTGCAGGCTCTGCCAGCACCAAAATTCAGCTGCCCGCGCTGGCAGGATCTGCTGGTACTGCTCTTCTGCCTCTGGTTTTCACCTTGTTTTTATTATTTAAGGACTTGCGAAGACTACTCGTGTTGCTGAAATAACGAGCTGGAAAGCTTATTTCCATTCCTAGATGATGACGACGATCGTAAGATAAACGTGTGATTCATATTATTTTGGACACATAAAACAACTGCGTTGAATAGCGTAATAGTAATACCTTGTAAAAAGAAAAGACAAACAAATGATTTTTGGTTGTTTCAGCTGCAAATTGGGTTACTCCACAATGCACTGGAGAGGCAAATCTTAGAAACTCTTGACTATATGTGGACACGCTCATAAAATAGCAAATTTAGTTGTCTCAGGAGAAACAGAGTGGGATTTATCAAGTCTAGCTCAACAAGGCTTAAATTAAGTTGATGGTCACCATTTGGTTTGTGCAGTGTGATCCCAGCTCAGTCTATCGTTCTGTATACAATTGTTTTTCACTTATTTCAAATAGGATACTTGGGAGCAAAAAAAAAAAAAAAAAAGGATACCAAAACAGTTACTGAAAATCAGTATTTCTGCTATTCTTAAGAAATTTTCAAGCTGGGCTCCTTTTACTAAAGGAGAGATTTGTCTGTGAAAATCTTCTCTCTCTCTCTCCCCCCTCTCTCCCTCGCATACAAATACACTGATAAAACAAGTGCAAGCTGCTGGATTGGGTGTAAAATGGCAGAAATGGTCCAATCATACATTGGAGAGAAAAAAAAATAAAATTACCATAAAATAAACCAACATTTCTATTTGACAGAGGTGTGTTCCCCTTTAGGGGTTGGGGTGCCCGTCCCTGTCCCTACTCCCCATGCACAAAACCCCCCTAATTTCTCCCCAAATTCCTGTCTCCTTCCTTTACACCAGAGGTTTTGGGGCTCCCAGCATGGCGGTGCCAGCCCCACTGCAGCCTGACCTGGCCCAGGAGCAGGACAGTGGCCACCAGGCTCCTCTCAGCTCATGAGCCAGGACAACAGGAGCTGCCCCATCTCCTTCCAGCCTGGACTTGAAATGCAAAATATCCTTTTCAATTCCTAAACTGAAGATGTGTGTAGCATGCCAGGGGGTGTAATTAAGTGTCCTTGCTGCCTCCCCCTAGGAGCACAAGGCTCATTTAGAATAAAAGTGAGTAAACGGCTGATTTTGCCTTTTCTTGTCATCATTGCTTGGTGCTGAAGCTGGGCCCCTTCCCAGCCCACCTGCACCCTCAATCCTTTTCAGGCTGGACATTGCCAAAATTCAACCAGCCTAACCCTCAGGGGTTTTTTCCAGTCTTACACATGACCAGCTCCTGGTAACTGCTCCACTCCCTCCAAGGTTTCCCATCCCAGTGGTCTGGCTCTCCATCCCACCAGAATAAAATTAGCAGATGGAGCAAGAGGGATGAGGATGCTCAGGGATGCAAAGCAGCACATCTCCGCCTCGCTGCCCTGTTTTACACCACCCAAAAATTCAGCCCAAAGATTTTATTGCTGTATATTCGATAAGACGGGTGGTAATTATAGGGCTACGGTGAATTCAAGGCTGTCGTGGCAGCTGCCTTATTCACAGCCTCCCTCCCGGAGCGGAGGGAGGGGAGAGGGGAGAGCATATGTAGTTCAGAATAAAATGAAAATTACTCAGTGGAAAAAAAAAGGGGGGGGGGGGGGATATAAACCAAATTTCAGTGGCATGATATTAATGCAATGCAAAGTGATTTATATTTTCTGGGCTCCTATCAAACACATCTGTTAGAAGTCATTTGTATTTAAATGAGAGTAAAAAGGAAACTAATTCCACTTGCTCTCCTCACTCCCTCCTTTTTTTCCCTGTGACCAGAGCTGGTGCAGAAAATGACTTTATGTTTGTTCTCTGAATCCCCTAATTCAAACATGTCTCCCACAAAATAAAAAAGTCACTGGTGTATTTAGACAATCCCCACTCAGGAACAAAGTCTGCGGAGGGGGGGTGAGAGGTAGAGACACGTCTGGAGGATGGAGCCCCCGTGTTTTAAGGGTGTTTATGAATTTAGAATAGCTCCGCTTATTAAAAGGAGGAACTCGTAAGAGTGTTTTCAGCTATGCGTTTTGAATCTCAAGTTAGGCTAAACATGGTTCTTGCTGCTTCTGAACAGATTCACCCATCTCTAATAATTACTGTTAATTAAAAAGCTCTTTATGCCCTGAGCAAAGTCTGACAGCGCGGGAAGGATTCAGGTTCAGAGAAATCTCTTAAAATATCTTGAGGGAAAAATTTCCAGTGTTTAATTGGAAAGCTGCTGTCTGCAGAGCTGCCTGTGCTATTACTGGCATCCTCCTCTCCCCACAGCCGGCGTCGGGAGCCTCTGGCCCGCTCCAGGCTCTCGCCGGTCCCACGCTCCCTGTGCTGGGGGCCTCATCCTGGGATGCGAGCGGTGGGGTGACCCTTTTTGGGCAACCCCTTCGTGCAAAAGCAACCAGAGCACCAGCCCAGCAGCTGCCTGCAACGGAGCATTCCCCAGCTCCTGCCCAAGGCCCTTTCTTTGGAGAGAAACAAAATCAGCAAAGCAGCTAGACAAAGCGGCTCTTACCCGTGTGCCCTTCTCTCCGTTGGCTCCTGGAAATCCTGGGAAGCCGATTGAGCCCTTGGGGGAAAGAGCAAAGAGAGAGCGAGCGTCAAGACACACTGAAAGGAGCAGCTCTGTCCATCCACGCCAGGTACCCGCTGGCCTGGAATAACCCCCAGCCAGCACCTACTGACATCTACTGCTCCTAATGCTTTTTTTTTTAACCTTCCTTTAATAAAAACAAAACCAAAGACAGACCCGAAATGACCTCAGAAACTAAATTCATCCAAAAATAACGAGAGAAAAAAAAAGAAAGTCCACGCCTCATTAGGAGTCACTGCAAAGGCCCAAGCCCATGGTTGTACCGGGAGCCTGGGGAACAGGCAGGCTTTTGGTTTTTAGCTCCTAAGTCACTATGTTGCACATGAAAATTTAACTCCTGGCTTGTTCCTTTCTGATGTAAGTGCCTAGAGAATAGCTGCTGCTGCTTTTAAAATATGAATTTCTCAAAGAAATGCAAAAAAACCCCCTACCTCAGATATAAAATGCAAATTAAAAAATAAACCATCAACACCACAACCAGGAAACAATCTCTTGCAGATAATTATGTCTCCAGTGTTAAACAAGCCTGTTTGGTTTTTTTTTAAGCAATAAACATGAATAATAAAATACAATTCTTAAAAAAAAAGTTAACAAAAACGTAAGTTCCCAAAGCCTCCAGGGCGTGTAAAAAGTGGGCTGCAGCCTTAGTCTATGTAGTGGAATTTGCAGTTTTAATTTAAAAAGAACAGTTGAAAATAGCCAAAATGAAGGTGGGCGTGTAGATAAGATGCAAAGGACATTTGCAAATCTGCAAATGGCAGTTTTATTTTAATTTCAGGGAGACCCTGATTCATTAGCTATTCTCCTTAATTAATTAGTTAACACTTGTGCAGAGCTTTGAAGATATAAAACATAATACGAGGAGAAGGACCATTATGCCTATTACTAGCACAAGAGCTCACATGGAGCCTGTCTATATCCAGCACCAAAACAGCCCTGCACGCCCTCGCACGCTGCAGCCCCGTCCCACTGCCTCTCTTCCCACCGCTTTGCAGGAGACTGAAGCGATGCAGAACCAGTCACTGATTTCCACCAGCTAAGGGCTGGGAGCTGTTGTAACCCATCTATAAATTTGTCCTGCACGGGTGGGAAGGAGGGACCGCACGGTGGGAAACGCTGCTGTTCCACCTCGTCCCGGTAGCAGGGGACCGAGCCCTCTGCACGGCATCACCATCGGAGCTCGGCCAGCAGCTGCGGGCTCCCCAGCACACCCCGCACCTCTCAAGGACTGGACCCAGCCGAGTTACCTTTGGGCCCTGCCTGCCCGGGTAGCCGGGCAGTCCTGGTACACCGAGTTTTCCCTGAAACACAAATAGAAGTGTGTTAGCATGGGCAAGAGACCTTGTGAGCAGCTTCATATTTGCACCAGCAGAAAGGGGAGATGCCAAGTACAGAGAAATCAAGAGCAAAGCAGATGTGACATGGGTGGAATAAAGCTGTCGGGGCACCGCGATCATCCTCGGCCCTCCCTGGGGGAAGCCCAGTGGGTTTGATCCAGAGTGACCACTGTAAATGGATTGGGGACCTAGTGGGGAATGGTTATTTTTTGCTATTTTTTTTTTCCACTGGATGCACCTAGAAATTAGACTGGACTCCATGATACTTTCAATTTCTCCATTTTTTTCCCTCTGGTCTTTTTTTCAAGACATTGTACCCAAGCAGATAACCCCAAAGAGACCAATGTCTCAATGCACTCAAGTCACACCACTGCAATAAAACCAGCTCCCCCGGGTCTCCTCTGGCCTTTGTGTTAACAACTCAGGCCAGCCTTCACACCAAGCTCCCGTAGCTCCTCTTCATCCCTCTGCCCTAAAACTGAACCCCCCCCTACTCAGGCACTGCCTCGGCCACCCACCCGAGACACCCAAAGTGGGTTTTCCTATAAAACATCCCTGGGCAATTCCATCCTTGAGACTCACCTTCTCTCCAGCAGGACCAAGAGGACCAGGATCTCCATTGGGGCCAGAGCGACCTTTGGGACCTTCAGGACCATCCTCACCTCGGGGACCAGGAGGTCCAATTTCCCCCTGTTAATCACAAGAGAAGCGTTGATGGGGCAGGCAGGTCCCAGACCCCGGGTTTGCTGACAGCAATACCCTCACGGCTGCAATCAGATACTCCACAGAGCCGCTAATGCAACTCTTGGAGAAAGCTGGTCTTCACCGAGAAGCTCAGACGAGACTGTCATTGAGTAAATTGCACAGCGTTATTAGAGCACCAAGCTTTCATTCACACAGCCTGGCCATTATATCCCACAACAGCCGCCTTTTTCCGTGGCCCAATTATCCCATCTACACACAGCCTCTCCACCGAAACAGCCTTCGTTAGCTCTGATTGCAAAGCTGCCTTTTACCCACTTCCCGCTTCCCAAATCGCAGTTTGATGTGCAGGCAAGCCTGGGAAGTGTTTAATTGAGGGTTGAACCAGGCAACTGGAGAAGAAAGACTGGGCTGGAGCTTTTGTGCCAAAAATCATCAGGAAATCTGAGAGCCAAGAGGACCGAGCTATTAACGTGAATTGTTGTGAGACTGCAGGCTCTGGCACACAAAACAACAGTTGTCATTTTGTCACGCAGGGTAACAGGAGATGCTTCCACGCTGCAAACACAGGCAGCCGCCTTCTCACGCACCAGAACCTGGCTGGACGCAGATTTATCCGCAAGGCTCTCGAGTACCCCTTGTCCTTTCATTGCTCATCATAAAACGCAAAGAGCTCGCTGGTGGGAACTGGAGTCGCGAGCTTTGTTTGAAGGAGCTTATGTCTATCTGCATTGGCGAGGACAGGAGTCACCTCCCTGAGATACCTTTGGTCCTTCTTCCTTGGCAAGAAGTGGGGTCTGGGGAAGTGCCCAATTGCTTTAACCGTTCAGTTACACAGTTAAACGCCAGGAGAAATGGAGGATTTGATTTCTACTTTTACAAGCCTTCACACAAGGCATTCATTTTTCCTTTAAACACAGGGATGAACGACTGCAAAGCTCTCTTGATCCCTGGGAGGGCTTCAGAGCTCAGGGGGACATTAAGCCCCAGTGACGCATCACTCAGAGGGGACACAGACAGCCCCCTGTCCCCAAGGGCTGGATGCGAAGGACGGACAGATGCACTGCAAAGCCATGGGCTGCAGCCGCTGCCTGCATCTGAGTGTGACTTGGGGTTTCGGGTGGTCTGTGTGTTCCCCTGATTTTTAAAAGCTTTTGTGACCAGGCACCATGCCCTGCCGCCAAAGATGTGAGTCTAATATAACACTCCACCCCTGGCGGTTTCCGCAGCATTACTTTGGTTTCCATTAGAGCATGTTCCCAGTAACTTTAGACTTCATGTTGATGGTATGGAAGCACATCAAACTCAGCAAATAAAGATGCCTACCAGACCCTAGATGTAATATTACGGGGGAAAAGAGATACTGGAAATAAATATGACACAGCTGGATCACACAGTATTCCTAGCAGTCAAAGCAGCAAGACAGGGCCCTCGATTATTACTCAGTTTTATTTTACCTTCAAGGTGGGACTAGCAAATTTAGGGATTTACAACTGCTGTGCTTGAGGTGAACATCAAATTCCTGCATCCCTGCCTCGAGATCAGACATGCCAGAAGGACTCTGACAAAAGTCTCTCTCCCCAAGCCACATTTGCATGATAACATACGGGCTTGAAAGGCAAAGCACTACAAGATCACATCGGTCATAGGCTCTTACCCGGTCTCCTTTGATGCCCATATCACCTTTGAAGCCAGGGAAGCCATCTTCACCCTAAATAACAGAGAGAGGAAAAAAACAGAGAAGGTGTATAGATGGAAAAGAAGAGAAAAGGCTTCTCTAGCCTCACTGTATGGCCCCTACCTAGGGAGGACAAGATTAGGTCCCCGACCGCCCATCACTCTGGCTTCTGTAAGTCTTTGGTGTGCAAGCATGGAAACCCAGCCAGGCTGCGACCGCCGAGGTCCCTGAGGGATCACAGCAAGTATTCCCTAC